GAGTACCGCCGGGACCTGGCCTTTCCATGTGGGCGTGATCCCCACCCTTCCCGTGCCACTACTCCTAGGAACAGACTGTCCGGGCTTCCCAACGGACCCTGCTACCGAGGCAAAGTAGCCGTCGCGACGGACCCAGAGGACCCGACGCCGGGCAGTCTGCCTAGCCCAAGGTGGAGACGCAGGCATGACGGTGGTCCACTGTGTCAACCGAGAAGGGAAGTTCGGCCGGGAGCAGAAGGAGGACGACCGCCTGAAACACTGCTGGGCACAAGCGCGCGTAGAGGGGGTCACCCAGAACCCCGACCCGAGGCTCCCCACCTCGTATTTCCTCGTAAAAGGGGGCCTCCTCTACCAACGGGTCTGCCGCCGAGGAGAACAGACAGACCTCCTGGTGGTACCGCAGACGAGGACTAACCTGGTGATGCACCTGGCCGCAAGGACTGCTGGACGTCGCCCGCGAAGACTGGGAGGAACAGCCGTCCCCGTACCGCTCGATCATTGAGTACGTGCAGGAAATGCAAGATAGAATTGACCGGGTGGCGCCAATAGTGCAGGAACATATGCGCGCCGCGCAGGAGGAACAGCTGCGGGTGTATAACCGCCCGGCGCAGCCCCGGGAGTTCCACCCGGCGGACCAGGTCCTTCTCCTAGTGCCTAGCAGCGCCTGCAAGTTCCTGGCCCGGTGGCAGGGCCCGTATACGTTCCTTGAGCGATGGGGGGCCGTCAACTACCGCCTGCAACAACCCGGTAAGCGTACGGACGGGAAGTTATACCATATAAACCTGTTGAAGAGGTGGGTGGAATGTTGTTTTTAAAATAAACGTGAGGGAGACCGAATAGGAGTAATAAGTAATTTTATTGACAATCAGCAGTGAGATGCACAATTTGGTGGCGGGTGCTCGAATCCAAATCCAGCCCTTCCAATAAATGGGCACCTAGACACATAGAGGAGGAATTAGGTGGATATTGATAAACAGGATTCACATTTTGGGATTGACACACTATGGTTTAATAGTCACAGAGAAGGAGAGTTAGGGAGGCACACACACATAGATAACACACACACACACACACTCTTGCGCGTTCAGGGTCAGGCATGCAAACATAGCACACACACACACTCTCTGTCTCTCCCTCTCTCTCTAACACCCCCTCCCGAAGGCCCGAACGCACACACACCATTAGAACTGTACAAGAATAAATAGTATTAAGGTAAAGATAGATATTGTCAGGATAATATGAATAATATTATGAGGTCGGGAGTACAGTAAACTATGTGTAAGTAGGATAACTAATATATATATATATATATATATATATATATATATATATATATATATATATATATATATATATATATATATATATATATATATATAATGGTTAAATGGAAATATAAAACAGATATGAAAGTAAATTATAAACCAGACAAATAGGAGTAAAAGGTAAATGGAACTTACTCATAATGCTGAATAAAAAAAGAGTATTGTCTCTCTGGAAGGGTGGGTTGTGCTGTAGACAGGGGGCTTTAGATGTTTAAAAGAACCATAAGAATCATGAGGAGCTATTTATACGAATAGCTGGGTCACACTGCACCTGTGTGACCAAGGTCGTTCTCCAAATTGTTTACGTTTTCTCTCTCGTAGCTTCAAAATTGTTATGTTTTCTCGCTCTCGGGAAATGGTAAATCTGGAGGGGCTGGTAAACAAACATAATGGTTATCGCAAGTGGATTGTTTTCTGTTCTAATGGTAACTGTTGGGGAGGGTTTTTTAATCCTCATGGTAAATATAGATGAGCTCTTTTTAACCCTATTGGTAAGGAGATCCCAATCTTTCTGAAATTTATTGGTAATATTCTCTGTACATAAGCTATAAATACTGGAACTCCAGTTATCAGATCACTTCTGGGAATTCTCATTAGTGTGGATCTCGTGTGGTGGACCGAAATAAAAACTGGACCCTTGCCTTTCCTCACTCACGGCTAATCGTCTCTTTTTCTATCTCAATTGGGTTTACGGATGTGAGTATTTGCTTCTAATTTTAATTGTCTTTGGGTAATAGGCTGGATTAGGGCCTTCAGGAACCAGCCCCGATGGTTTCAGCGTACGCGGGCCGGGACACAGATCCTGACAAGCGTGCTTTGGTCGACTTTGGGGAGGACCTCACCCCCGCGCAGAGACAGGAACTCAACGAGAAGGTGGCCCAATTCGCAGACGTGTTCTTCTCCTCCCCGGGGATGACCCAGGTGGTTCACCATGCGATCAAGACACCCCCCGGGGTGGTAGTAAGACAGAGACCCTACCGGGTCCCTGAGGCCCGGCAGAAGGCCATCAAGGAGGAGGTGGAGCGAATGCTAAGGGATGGGATCGTCGAGGAGTCATCCAGCCCCTGGTCCAGTCCCATCGTTGTCGTACCGAAACCCGTCGGAAGCATGCGACTTTGTAACAACTTCCGGAATCTGAACTAGGTATTGGACTTCGATAGTTACCCCCTCCCCCGAGTGGACGACCTGGTGGAGCGACTGGGGAGGGCCCGCTTTATATCCACCCTGGACCTCACCAAGGGGTATTGGCAAGTTGCCCTAGCGCCCGACGCCAGGCCCAAGACGGCCTTTAGTACATCCACCGGCCACTGGCAGTACCGGGTCCTCCCCTTTGGCCTACACGGGCAACCGAATGGGATTATGTCACCTGGGATTAACCGAGGCACAGTATCTGGGGTACCACATTGGGCGGGGGTTGCGGAAGCCTCAGATGAGGAAGATCGAAGCCGTAAGAGACTACCCTCACCCCTCATCGAAAAAACAGGTACTTGGGGTTGGCAGGGTACTATCGAAGATTTGTGCCTAACTTCTCGGCGATAGCTTCACCTCTTTCAGATCTCACCAAAAAGGGCCAGCCGGACCAGGTGAAATGGTCAACCGAGGCGGAGAGGGTCTTCCAAGCCCTGAAACGGGCCCTCACCAGCGCCCCGGTGTTGCGGAACCCGGACTTCACGCTCCCATTCACGGTACATACGACGCATCTGAAACAGGGTTGGGCGCGGTCCTCTCCCAAACCTTTGACATCAGCCGGAAAGTGGCCCCCGCTGAAAAGAGGTACGCCGCGGTGGAGCAGGAAGCCTTAGCAATCAAGTGGGCCAGCGAAGAGTTGAGGTATTACCTAGCGGGCCAGCACTTTGTCATGGTCATAGACCACGCGCCCCTACAATGGATGGCCAAGGCCAAGGACACGAACGCCCGGGTCACTCGGTGGTTTCTCGCCCTGCAGGATTTCTCCTTTCAGGTCCAGCACCGGGTAGGGGGGCCCTGCGCGGGAATGCAGATGGGCTCTCACGACGGGACAAGCTCTGGGCCCGCCTCCCAGCGGCAGTAGGCTCGGAGCTGAGGGGGGGGGTACTGTCGCAGCGGACCGACACCAGACGCGCAGACTAGGAGATTCGCTCCTTCCCCGACTGCCGCACCGGTACGAGGCGGGCAGCCTCGCGCCGGTCCCAACACTAACCGGAAGGGCCGTCACGGCGGGGTGGAGCCACCAACACCTCGCCGCCGGCTGATTGGCGAACTGGGAGCAAGATGTCCACCAATACAGTTCCAGAAGGAGGGGATAAAAGGACGCCCTTCCGCCCGAGGAAGACTGAAGACCGACTCGGCTACGTAGGCATACAATAGACGAGGTATTTCCACTTAAACCACGCAACACGGGCTTACCTAATCGTTCACGTTTTCTCTCTCTCGCTCTCTCTCCTCTCCGTTCACAGAGGGCTCCGCCCCGGATGAGGACGACGACAGACGAGGACAGTGGTGACGCTAAGAAACCGGCATAGGGAACCGCTTCTTCCCAGCCCCCGAAGAACGCCGCTGAAGGACAATAAATCCTTGGTTTTTTTTGCACTTCTCTCACCACAACCTGCCTCCCGTGTGTTTGTGCTACGCCTCCCCCCCTGGGCTGATCCTGCTACAGTATTTAAAACCTGACTGACTAAATTGAAATTGTAGATCTGACTGTTGGAGAGACAGAGCTGGAGTGTTGACAGGGAAACAGTCGCTTTTATCTAAATTTAGTTTATAACCAGAGACAACACCAAAAGACTCCAGAACATCCAAGACAGAAGGCATAGAGGCAGTAGGATCAGTTACATACAATAACAAATCATCAGCATATAGCGACAATTTGTATTCTACCCCATATCGAACTATTCCTTTAAACAAGGAGGAAGATTTTAGTGCAATAGAGAGCGGCTCGATTGCAACAGCAAAAAGCAGTGGGGATAAAGGACACCCTTGGCGACACCCTCGTCCGAGCGCAAAATAATCTGAATAAGTATCGTTAGTCTGAACTCTAGCATAAGGGGTTGAGTAAAGGAGGCTAATCCAAGAAATAAACTTGTCCCCAAATCCAAACTTCCTCAGGACTGCAAACAAATACTCCCATTCGACCCTGTCGAATGCTTTTTCAGCATGTAATGAAATCACAATCTCAGGGTGAACAGCTGAATGCTTTGAATAAATTATAATAAAGAGTGTAAGGGTATTGAAAAACATTTGACGTCCCTTTATAAAACCGTTCTCATCTTCAGATATAATATAAGGAAGTACATTCTCTAACCGAGATGCCATTACTTTCGCCAACACCTTTACATCTGCCTTCAGCAGTGATAAAGAACCACAGGAGGATGGATCCTTACCCTCCTTTAGGAGCAGAGCTATCGTAGCTTGTGTCAGAGTTGGAGGCAAAGACCCACGTTCCAAAGATTCGTTGAACATAGCCAAAAGCATTGGAGCTAATTTTCCAATAAACATTTTAAAGAATTCGATTCTGACACCACAGAATGTGCATTTCATGGCTGGTTTGCCCAATTTTAAGGCAAAGTTTATTTCTCAGCATAATTTTATTGGTCTCATTTGATCCTGTTTTTTAACTGCAATGCCCTCACTCAATTTGGAAGAATCTGAGAGAAAACACCTTTGCTACTTAACACCTTTCCTACTTGTTGCCTGGGCTCTGTGGCGCAATGGACAGCGCATTGGACTTCTAGGTTTGATATTGGAGCTGTTCAAAGGTTGTTGGTTCAAGTCCCTACAGAGTCATTTGCTTTCAGTTGATGGGGTTTGCATTTTTTTTTCTATACGAGAGAGGGTATTTTGTTGAATGTGGCAATTCCCTGATCTCCATCATAGACGGAATGCTTTGTTGGCCCCTGTTGAAAACAACATCATCAGGGTCCCCATGTTTCTACTCATTTGGCCATAATGACACTGAAACTGTGCTAAATTTAAATACCTAGAAAATACCCATGACATGGGTTCATGTCATAATTTCATGCCATAATTTGTGCTCACACATCCAAACCCCAAACTAGCATTCTTCTTGCCCAAGATTACCAACATGTGCTGAGTACCCTCAGAGCAGTTATGTCAACAGAATGTTGCTGATATGTTTGTAAAGACTATGACTGGAGATCAGATAGTACTTTGCTTGTATTTTCTCTTTGGTAAGTCGCTTTGGATAAAAGCGTCTGCTTAATGAATGAACGTAAATGTTATATTTGATCTGCTGTGGCTTGTGTGCTGTTTGTGGATAAATATCTTTATCTTGACCTATGTTTGTTGTTTATCAGAGGTTGAGGATAATAGCATTCCTCAAACCCGCGGTAGGAGCAGCATTCTGGCACAAACAAGATATCTGCATATGCCAGATCAGCATCTGTGTAGGATGCCTATGTCTAGGTTACTTTAGATGGAGCTAAGGTCTTCAAAGCAGGATCTCCTAGAACAGGATTGGTGACCACTGGTCTGGGCTGTCTTTTTCTGAATCTGACACCACAGAATGTGCATTTCGTGGCTGGTCGAGCAGATGCCTTAATATGTCTTCTATGTCTGCATGCCATTGGCATAAAGCTTAGCTTGATTATGAGTCAACAATCAGTTCAACAATTCTGATCTTAAACCACGTGGTGCTGTGGCTTAGTTGGTTAAAGTACCTGTCTAGTAAACAGGAGATCCTGGGTTCAAATCCCAGCAGTGCCTGATGCAGGAGCCTTCTTTTCTTTCAATACCGAAGCCTTCCATCCCTTTGTTACAGAAAGGAGTAAACACCAGCAAGCGCAGATTGGTGAGTGCTATGCCACTCAATTTGGAAGAATCTGAGAGGAAACACCTTTGCTACTTAACACCTTTCCTTCTTGTTATCTGGGCTCTGTTGCTCAATGGATAGCGCATTGGACTTCTGGGTTCAACATTGGAGCTATTCAAAGGTTGTTGGTTCAAGTCCTTCCAGAGTCATTTGCTTTCAGGTGCAGTGTATTGCTGATTTTTTTTCTATTCAAGAGAGGATATTTTGTTGAATATGGCAATTTCCTACTCTCCATCTTAGATGGAATGCTTTCTTGGCCCCTGTTGAAAACAACGTCATCAGGGTCCCCATGTTTCTACTCATTTGGACAAATTGACACTGAAACTGTGCTAATTTTAAATACCTCGAAAATACCCATGACATGGGTTCATGCCATAATTTGTGCTCACACATCCAAACCCCATACTAGCATTCTTCTTGCCCAAGATTACCAACATGTGCTGAGTACCCTCAGAGCAATTATGTCAACAGAATGTTGCTGATATTTTTTAAAGACTATGGCTGGAGATCAGATAGTACTTTGCTTGTATTTTCTCTTTGGTAAGTCACTTTGGATAAAAGCGTCTGCTTAATGAATAAACGTAAATGTAATATTTGATCTGCTGTGGCTTGTGTGCTGTTTGTGGATAAATATCTTGACCTATGTTTGTTGTTTATCAGAGGTTGAGGATCCTAGCATTCCTCAAACCTGCGGTTGGAGCAGCATTTTGTCACAACAACATACAGTATTTGACAAAAGTTAGTACACCCCTCACATTTTTGTAAATCTTTGATTATATCTTTTTATGTGACAAGTTTATGTAGAGGCCATCTACAAAGTGTCTATAAAACAAAGTGTCATTTCTTCAGTGTTGTCACATGAAAAGATATAATCAAATATAAAAAATATTTACTAAATTTGAGGGGTTACATTTGTGAGATACTGTACACACACACACACACACACACACACACACACATTTTATATATAATATATATAGTATAATATATATTAGTATAACATGCTATTTGTAACAATACATATTAAAATCTTATTGGCTATACCTAACTTTATAATTGCTAAACAGACAAAACATCAACGTACAAAAGGGGGGATATATTCAGAAGTCAGTATTTTTAATGTGTTTTAAAGACATCTTGCAAAGGGGGGCATCGGTCAAATGTTAATACCATTTGTGGGGGCCTTGCTCTGGAAATGTTTGGGAATCCCTGGCGTATGGATCCTTACCCTCCTTTAGGAGCAGAGCTATCGTGGTTTGTGTCAGAGTTGGAGGCAAAGACCCACGTTCCAAAGATTCGTTGAATATAGCCAAAAGCAATGGAGCTAATTTTCCAATAAACGTTTTAAAGAATTCGATTGGAAAATCTTGACCTATGTTTGTTGTTTATCAGAGGTTGAGGATCCTAGCATTCCTCAAACCCGCGGTAGGAGCAGCATTTTGTCACAAGCAACATACCTGCATCTGCCAGATCAGCATCTGTGTAGGATGCCTATGTCTAGGCTACTTTAGATGGAGGTAAGGTCTTCAAAGGAGCATCTCTGTTGGTGACCACTGGACTCGGATATATTTTTCTGAATCGGACACCACAGAATGTGCATTTCATGGCTGGTTTGCCCAATTTTAAGGCAAAGTGTATTTCTCAGCATAATTTTATTGGTCTCATTTGATCCTGTTTTTTTTTTTCACATGTTTAACAAAGAAAATGTATTTTTTTCCTATCTCATGGGAAATTATAAGAGAGCAGTTATTAGGCAACTAAATAATAAGTCATGTTATTTTTCACCTATTTATTCTTCAGGCTTAAAGTATTATTTAACAAATAACTAACAATAAATAACAATCAAAAGGTAATATTTTCCCTTCAAAACCATTCAGTGATCAACATAACCACCCTTCTTATCAGTACCTGACATGAGCCTTCCATCTACTGACTTTTTCCAATAAACATTTTAAAGAATTCGATTGGAAAATCTGACCTATGTTTGTTGTTTATCCGAGGTTGAGGATCCTAGCATTCCTCAAACCCGCGGTGGGAGCAGCATTTTGTCACAAGCAACATACCTGCATATGCTAGATCAGCATCTGTGTAGGATGCCTATGTCTAGGCTACTTTAGATTCAATTTTCAATTCAATTCAATTTTATTTGTATAGCGCTTTTTACAATAGTCATTGTCTCAAAGCAGCTTTACAGAAATAAAAAACAGGTATAAACAGTCAGAAACATGACTGTTTCCACAAATTAGATGGAGCTAAGGTCTTCAAAGCAGGAACTCCAGGAACAGGATTGGTGACCACTGGTCTGGGCTGTCTTTTTCTGAATCTGACACCACAGAATGTGCATTGCGTGGCTGGCTGAGCAGATGCCTTCATATGTCTTCTATGTCTGCATGCCATTGGCATACAGCTTAGCTTGATTAAGAGTCAACAATCAGTTCAACAACACTGAGCTTAAACCCCATGGTGCTGTGGCTTAGTTGGTTAAAGTGCCTATCTAGTAAACAGGAGATCCTGGGTTCAAATCCCAGCAGTGCCTGATGCAGGAGCCTCCTTTTATTTCAAGACAAATGCCTTCCATCCCTTATTTACAGAAAGGAGTAAACACCAGCAAGCTCAGATTGGGGACTGCAATGCCCTCACTCAATTTGGAAGAATCTGAGAGAAAACACCTTTGCTACTTAACACCTTTCCTACTTGCTGTCTGGTTTCTGTGGCGCAATGGATAGCGCGTTGGACTTCTAGGTTTGATATTGGAGCTGTTCAAAGGTTGATGGTTCAAGTCCCTACAGAGTCATTTGCTTTCAGTTGATGGGGTTTGCAATTTTTTTTCTATACGAGAGAGGGTATTTTGTTGAATGTGGCAATTTCCTGGTCTCCATCATAGACGGAATGCTTTGTTGGCCCCTGTTGAAAACAACATCATCAGGGTCCCCATGTTTCTACTCATTTGGCCATAATGACACTGAAACTGTGCTAAATTTAAATACCTAGAAAATACCCATGACATGGGTTCATGCCATAATTTCATGCCATAATTTGTGCTCACACATCCAAACCCCAAACTAGCATTCTTCTTGCCCAAGATTACCAACATGTGCTGAGTACCCTCAGAGCAGTTATGTCAACAGAATGTTGCTGATATGTTTGTAAAGACTATGGCTGGAGATCAGATAGTACTTTGCTTGTATTTTCTCTTTGGTAAGTCGCTTTGGATAAAAGCGTCTGCTTAATGAATGAACGTAAATGTTATATTTGATCTGCTGTGGCTTGTGTGCTGTTTGTGGATAAATATCTTTATCTTGACCTATGTTTGTTGTTTATCAGAGGTTGAGGATCATAGCATTCCTCAAACCCGCGGTAGGAGCAGCATTCTGGCACAAACAAGATATCTGCATATGCCAGATCAGCATCTGTGTAGGATGCCTATGTCTAGGTTACTTTAGATGGAGCTAAGGTCTTCAAAGCAGGATCTCCTAGAACAGGATTGGTGACCACTGGTCTGGGCTGTCTTTTTCTGAATCTGACACCACAGAATGTGCATTTCGTGGCTGGTTGAGCAGATGCCTTAATATGTCTTCTATGTCTGCATGCCATTGGCATAAAGCTTAGCTTGATTAAGAGTCAACAATCAGTTCAACAATTCTGACCTTGAACAATGTTGGGCTGTGGCTTAGTTGGTTAAAGTACCTGTCTAGTAAACAGGAGGTCCTGGGTTCAAATCCCAGCAGTGCCTGATGCAGGAGCCTTCTTTTCTTTCAATACCGAAGCCTTCCATCCCTTTGTTACAGAAAGGAGTAAACACCAGCAAGCGCAGATTGGTGAGTGCTATGCCACTCAATTTGGAAGAATCTGAGAGGAAACACCTTTGCTACTTAACACCTTTCCTTCTTGTTATCTGGGCTCTGTTGCGCAATGGGTAGCGCATTGGACAGCGCATTGGACTTCTGGGTTCAACATTGGAGCTATTCAAAGGTTGTTGGTTCAAGTCCTTCCAGAGTCATTTGCTTTCAGGTGGAGTGTATTGCTGATTTTTTCTATTCGAGAGAGGATATTTTGTTGAATATGGCAGTTTCCTACTCTCCATCTTAGATGGAATGCTTTCTTGGCCCCTGTTGAAAACAACGTCATCAGGGTCCCCATGTTTCTACTCATTTGGACAAATTGACACTGAAACTGTGCTAAATTTAAATACCTCGAAAATACCCATGACATGGGTTCATGCCATAATTTCATACCATAATTTGTGCTCACACATCCAAATCCCATACTAGCATTCTTCTTGCCCAAGAATACCAACATGTGCTGAGTACCCTCAGAGCAGTTATGTCAACAGAATGTTGCTGATATGTTTGTAAAGACTATGGCTGGAGATCAGATAGTACTTTGCTTGTATTTTCTCTTTGGTAAGTCGCTTTGGATAAAAGCGTCTGCTTATTGAATAAACGTAAATGTAATATTTGATCTCCTATGGCTTGTGTGCTGTTTGTGGATAAATATCTTGATCTATGTTTGTTGTTTATCAGAGGTTGAGGATCCTAGCATTCCTCAAACCTGTGGTAGGAGCAGCAATTTGTCACAAGCAACATACCTGCATATGCCAGATCAGCATCTGTGTAGGATGCCTATGTCTAGGTTACTTTAGATGGAGCTAAGGTCTTCAAAGCAGGATCTCCTAGAACAGGATTGGTGACCACTGGTCTGGGCTGTCTTTTTCTGAATCTGACACCACAGAATGTGCATTTCGTGGCTGGTCGAGCAGATGCCTTAATATGTCTTCTATGTCTGCATGCCATTGGCATAAAGCTTAGCTTGATTAAGAGTCAACAATCAGTTCAACAAGTCTGATCTTAAACAATGTGGTGCTGTGGCTTAGTTGGTTAAAGTACCTGTCTAGTAAACAGGAGATCCTGGGTTCAAATCCCAGCAGTGTCTGATGCAGGAGACTTCTTTTCTTTCAATACCGAAGCCTTCCATCCCTTTGTTACAGAAAGGAGTAAACACCAGCAAGCGCAGATTGGTGAGTGCGATGCCACTCAATTTGGAAGAATCTGAGAGGAAACACCTTTGCTACTTAACACCTTTCCTTCTTGTTATCTGGGCTCTGTTGCGCAATGGATAGCGCGTTGGACTTCAAAGTGCCTGTCTAGTAAACAGGAGATCCTGGGTTCAAATCCCAGCAGTGCCTGATGCAGGAGTCCTCTTTTCTTTCAAGACCAATGCCTTCCATCCCTTTGTTACAGAAAGGAGTAAACACCAGCAAGCGCAGATTGGTGAGTGCTATGCCACTCAATTTGGAAGAATCTGAGAGGAAACACCTTTGCTACTTAACACCTTTCCTTCTTGTTATCTGGGCTCTGTTGCGCAATGGATAGCACATTGGACAGCGCATTGGACTTCTGGGTTCAACATTGGAGCTATTCAAATGTTGTTGGTTTAAGTCCTTCCAGAGTCATTTGCTTTCAGGTGGAGTGTATTGCTGATTTTTTCTATTCGAGAGAGGATATTTTGTTGAATATGGCAATTTCCTACTCTCCATCTTAGATGGAATGCTTTCTTGGCCCCTGTTGAAAACAACGTCATCAGGGTCCCCATGTTTCTACTCATTTGGACAAATTGACACTGAATCTGTGCTAAATTTAAATACCTCGAAAATACCCATGACATGGCTTCATGCCATAATTTCATGCCATAATTTGTGCTCACACATCCAAACCCCATATTAGCATTCTTCTTGCCCAAGATTACCAACATGTGCTGAGTACCCTCAGAGCAGTTATGTCAACAGAATGTTGCTGATATGTTTGTAAAGACTATGGCTGGAGATCAGATAGTACTTTGCTTGTATTTTCTCTTTGGTAAGTCGCTTTGGATAAAAGCGTCTGCTTATTGAATAAACGTAAATTTAATATTTGATCTCCTGTGGCTTGTGTGCTGTTTGTGGATAAATATCTTGATCTATGTTTGTTGTTTATCAGAGGTTGAGGATCCTAGCATTCCTCAAACCTGTGGTAGGAGCAGCAATTTGTCACAAGCAACATACCTGCATATGCCAGATCAGCATCTGTGTAGGATGCCTATGTCTAGGCTACTTTTGATGGAACTAAGGTCTTCAAAGCAGGAACTCCAGGAGCAAGATTGGTGACCACTGGTCTGGGCTGTCTTTTTCTGAATCTGACACCACAGAATGTGCATTTTGTGGCTGGTTGAGCAGGTGGCTTAATATGTCTTCTATGTCTGCATGCCGTTGGCATAAAGCTTAGCTTGATTAAGGGTCAACAATCAGTTCAACAACACTGACCTTAATTGCCATGGTGCTGTGGCTTAGTTGGTTAAAGTGCCTGTCTAGTAAACAGGAGATCCTGGGTTCAAATCCCAGCAGTGCCTGATGCAGGAGTCTTCTTTTCTTTCAAGACCAATGCCTTCCATCCCTTTGTTACAGAAAGGAGTAAACACCAGCAAGCGCAGGTTGGTGAGTGCTATGCCACTCAATTTGGAAGAATCTGAGAGGAAACACCTTTGCTACTTAACACCTTTCCTTCTTGTTATCTGGGCTCTGTTGAGCAATGGATAGGGCATTGGACAGTGCATTGGACTTCTGGGTTCAACATTGGAGCTATTCAAAGGTTGTTGGTTCAAGTCCTTCCAGAGTCATTTGCTTTCAGGTGGAGTGTATTGCTGATTTTTTCTATTCGAGAGAGGATATTTTGTTGAATATGGCAATTTCCTACTCTCCATCTTAGATGGAATGCTTTCTTGGCCCCTGTTGAAAACAACGTCATCAGGGTCCCCATGTTTCTAGTCATTTGGCCATAATGACACTGAAACTGTGCTAAATTTAAATACCTCGAAAATACCCATGACATGGGTTCATGCCATAATTTCATGCCATAATTTGTGCTCACACATCCAAACCCCATACTAGCATTCTTCTTGCCCAAGATTACCAACATGTGCTGAGTACCCTCAGAGCAGTTATGTCAACAGAATGTTGCTGATATGTTTGTAAAGACTATGGCTGGAGATCAGATAGTACTTTGCTTGTATTTTCTCTTTGGTAAGTCGCTTTGGATAAAAGCGTCTGCTTATTGAATAAACGTAAATGTAATATTTGATCTCCTGTGGCTTGTGTGCTGTTTGTGGATAAATATCTTGATCTATGTTTGTTGTTTATCAGAGGTTGAGGATCCTAGCATTCCTCAAACCTGTGGTAGGAGCAGCAATTTGTCACAAGCAACATACCTGCATATGCCAGATCAGCATCTGTGTAGGATGCCTATGTCTAGGCTACTTTTGATGGAGCTAAGGTCTTCAAAGCAGGAACTCCAGGAACAAGATTGGTGACCACTGGTCTGGGCTGTCTTTTTCTGAATCTGACACCACAGAATGTGCATTTTGTGGCTGGTTGAGCAGGTGGCTTAATATGTCTTCTATGTCTGCATGCCGTTGGCATAAAGCTTAGCTTGATTAAGGGTCAACAATCAGTTCAACAACACTGACCTTAATTGCCATGGTGCTGTGGCTTAGTTGGTTAAAGTGCCTGTCTAGTAAACAGGAGATCCTGGGTTCAAATCCCAGCAGTGCCTGATGCAGGAGTCTTCTTTTCTTTCAAGACCAATGCCTTCCATCCCTTTGTTACAGAAAGGAGTAAACACCAGCAAGCGCAGATTGGTGAGTGCAATGCCCTCACTCAACTTGGAAGAATCTGAGAGAAAACACCTTTGCTACTTAACACCTTTCCTACTTCCTATCTGGGCTCTGTGGTGCAGTGGATAGGGCATTGGACTTCTAGGTTCAGCATTGGAGCTATTCAAAGGTTGTGGGTTCAAGTCTCTCCAGAGTCTTTTACTTTCAGGTGGAGAGGTTTGCTTCTTTTTCTATTTGAGAGAGGGTATTTTGTTGAAGGTGGCAATTCCCTACTCTACATCTTGACGGAATGCTTTGTTGGCCCCTGTTGAAAATAACATCATCAGGGTCCCCATGTTTCTACTCATTTGGCCATAATGACACTGAAACTGTGCTAAATTTAAATACCTCGAAAATACCCATGACATGGGTTCATGCCATAATTTGTGCTCACACATCCAAACCCCATACTAGCATTCTTCTTGCCCAAGATTACCAACATGTGCTGAGTACCCTCAGAGCACTTATGTCAACAGAATGTTGCTGATATGTTTGTAAAGACTATGGCTGGAGATCAGATAGTACTTTGCTTGTATTTTCTCTTTGGTAAGTCGCTTTGGATAAAATCGTCTGCTTAATGAATGAACGTAAATGTTATATTTGATCTGCTGTGGCTTGTGTGCTGTTTGTGGATAAATATCTTTATCTTGACCTATGTTTGTTGTTTATCAGAGGTTGAGGATCCTAGCATTCCTCAAACCCGTGGTAGGAGCAGCATTCTGGCACAAACAAGATATCTGCATATGCCAGATCAGCATCTGTGTAGGATGCCTATGTCTAGGCTACTTTAGATGGAGCTAAGGTCTTCAAAGCAGGAACTCCAGGAACAGGATTGGTGACCACTGGTCTGGGCTGTCTTTTTCTGAATCTGACACCACAGAATGTGCATTTCGTGGCTGGTTGAGCAGATGCCTTCATATGTCTTCTATGTCTGCTTGCCATTGGCATACAGCTTAGCTTGATTAAGAGTCAACAATCAGTTCAACAACACTGAGCTTAAACCCCATGGTGCTGTGGCTTAGTTGGTTAAAGTGCCTGTCTAGTAAACTGGAGATCCTGGGTTCAAATTCCAGCAGTGCCTGATGCAGGAGTGTTCTTTTATTTCAAGACAAATACCTTCCATCCCTTATTTACAGAAAGGAGTAAACACCAGCAAGCTCAGATTGGGGACTGCAATGCCCTCACTCAATTTGGAAGAATCTGAGAGAAAACACCTTTGCTACTTAACACCTTTCCTACTTGTTGCCTGGGCTCTGTGGCGCAATGGACAGCGTGTTGGACTTCTAGGTTTGATATTAGAGCTGTTCAAAGGTTGTTGGTTCAAGTCCCTACAGAGTCATTTGCTTTCAGTTGATGGGGTTTGCATTTTTTTTTCTATACGAGAGAGGGTATTTTGTTGAATGTGGCAATTTCCTGGTCTCCATCATAGACGGAATGCTTTGTTGGCCCCTGTTGAAAACAACATCATCAGGGTCCCCATGTTTCTACTCATTTGGCCATAATGACACTGAAACTGTGCTAAATTTAAATACCTAGAAAATACCCATGACATGGGTTCATGCCATAATTTCATGCCATAATTTGTGCTCACACATCCAAACCCCAAACTAGCATTCTTCTTGCCCAAGATTACCAACATGTGCTGAGTACCCTCAGAGCAGTTATGTCAACAGAATGTTGCTGATATTCCTCAAATCCGCGGTAGGAGCAGCATTCTGGCACAAACAAGATATCTGCATATGCCAGATCAGCATCTGTGTAGGATGCCTATGTCTAGGCTACTTTAGATGGAGCTAAGGTCTTCAAAGCAGGATCTCCTAGAACAGGATTGGTGACCACTGGTCTGGGCTGTCTTTTTCTGAATCTGACACCACAGAATGTGCATTTCGTGGCTGGTTGAGCAGATGCCTTAATATGTCTTCTATGTCTGCATGCCATTGGCATAAAGCTTAGCTTGATTAAGAGTCAACAATCAGTTCAACAATTCTGATCTTAAACAATGTGGTGCTGTGGCTTAGTTGGTTAAAGTGCCTGCCTAGTAAACAGGAGATCCTGGGTTCAAATCCCAGCAGTGCCTGATGCAGGAGCCTTCTTTTCTTTCAATACCGAAGCCTTCCATCCCTTTGTTACAGAAAGGAGTAAACGCCAGCAAGCGCAGATTGGTGAGTGCAATGCCACTCAATTTGGAAGAATCTGAGAGGAAACACCTTTGCTACTTAACACCTTTCCTTCTTGTTATCTGGGCTCTGTTGCGCAATGTATAGCGCATTGGACTTCTGGGTTCAACATTGGAGCTATTCAAAGTTTGTTGGTTCAAGTCCTTCCAGAGTCATTTGCTTTCAGGTGGAGTGTATTGCTGATTTTTTTCTATTCGAGAGAGGATATTTTGTTGAATATGGCAATTTCCTACTCTCCATCTTAGATGGAATGCTTTCTTGGCCCCTGTTGAAAACAACGTCATCAGGGTCCCCATGTTTCTACTCATTTGGACAAATTGACACT